CGCACATAGTCAGAAAGTCCATTGTTACACAGCCGGGGATCGATCGGGATGAGATTCATATGCTCAAACTACTAGACCAATATAAAACTGCGACAAAATATTTGTATGAAACATGTAACAATTGAAACACCCTACTAACGCGCAAACCCAATAGCGGTTTACTTATGCTTAAATGCTAAAATCTTGACTCAAGCTATATTTCTTCTGAATTTTAACAGCACGGAACAAAATATTGCAACTAATAATACGTGTTGGAATACAAACCTAAGAGTGACGACTTTTACTTTTGGCTTGGTACCAAAGTTTTGTAGTCAAATAATAACTATATAACTTGGAAAATCTCTAAAATAAATAGCTCCCGCAAAAAGCTATCAACGCTGGAAAGCTTTTTAAAAGTTCTCAAGGTGAATAATTTAGAGCTTTTATTTTGTTTTGTAACAAAATCTAGAGTAGTCATTGATTAAAGGTATATATTTTTATTTTTTTTAAGACAATTCACACCAATTGTCCTTGTCCCATGCTAAGCTGATGAAGCTTGTGTTATGGGTACTAGGCAACGGATATACATACATATTATAGATAGATAGACATATAAATACATATTTATTATTTTATTAATACTTATTTAACACCCAAGACCTAAGCACAACACCAAATGCTCATCACATCGATGTTGGTCTCAGCCGGGGATCGAACCCGGGACCCATGGATTCGCAGTCAGGGGTACTAACCAAGGGGTCCAATGAGTCGTCTAGTATAAAAAAACTAAGAATTAAATTCTTGCTAATGGAGTTTATAAATGTTAATCCGTTAGTTACGTAATAAAGTTAGCCATGTTTCTTAGTTGTATATTATAAGAGTGAATGAGGTATATGTGTTAAAAGCTTATTTTTAATAAGTTAAGCTTGTTATTCAAAAACCTGTAAATGATTACTTCTGAAAATATTTTTAAATATTACCTTGAGGCTATAATGAAGATAACCTCAAATATTGTTTAAACAAAAAATGTTCAGGCTTTTAATGATGCTAAAAAAATTATATTAATTACACAAAGAGTATCATCAAGTTTCTTTTTTTAATGTTCATTTTATTTTATCGCTTCTTTGTTTATTATCTATAGCTAAGCAGCGCATTTTATTAAGTAGAAAAATAATAAAATATGCTTATGTTTGTTAGACTTTAATGCTTAACCGAACTCCATTGTTTAAAGCAAGACATATACGTACAATTTAAGAGAAAGAAACAATACTCATGTATCGTGAAAACACTTTGATAAAGTTTTATTAATAATGTCATCATTATTGATTACATTATTAATAAAACTTTATCGATATCCATAAGGATACATAAATTTTACACGTTTTTGTTAAGTAATATTGCTAGCTTCAATAATTACTTCACAAAGCTTTCGACACAAAGATTACCTATCTAAACTCTCAACTGCTAATGAACTGTGGGATTATTGGAGTATATCCCAACGTAATTTATCTAGTCAAGTGAAGCCTTCAAATGCGAAAAAATTACTGATAAAAATACAAAAGTTTTTGCCTGAAAAACCTTCTAAAGGTCGGATGAAAAATGAGAATCACTAACAATACCAAAGTGATGAAAAGTATAATGAAGATCATTTATTATTCGGTATACTCTATAGTCTATGTACATATTTTGTATGAATGTGAGTGTAAGATTTTACGTTGACAATTGACAGGTCAAAACTAAGCGGTGAGCGATGAAGAAATTGAAGCATTAATTATGTTTTTTTTTTATTAAATCTGCCTTTTTAATCTAACAGGGGGCAAACAGGTAGGAAGGAGCCTGATTTGATGTTATGCAATACCGCCTCCCCATAGTCGTTGCCAAAATGCTCGCAAGTACGTTGCCGGCCTTTTAAGAACTGGTACGCTCTTTTCTTGAAGGACCCTAAGTGGAATTGGTTCGGAAATACTTCAGTGGGTAGCTGGTTCCACATCCATTCCAACGACGGACGACTTTGACAAATAAAACTTTTTGTAACTTTTTCCATACAAAAAGTTTTATTTATTATTTAAATCTTAATTGTATTACAGAATCAGAAATCTGTTAACACTTTAATCATGAAAGGACCAACGGGTTGTCTCGTCGCTTTCAAACGATCTCTTGGCAACCACTATAAGGAACGACAAAATAAAAAAAGATAAATTGTTGCCATGCAAGTAAGGTTTACATGAGTAGTATACATTAAACGTGGTGTTACCTGATTATACCATTAAAATATAATTATTTTATTACGATCACTTTATTATATTAAATGAGGATTTAAATCATAATTCATGTTACGTTCCACCAATACAAAAGCACACAAAATATCGTCACATTTTTTTCTCTTAAAAGCTGGTGAAACTTTTATCTACAGACGTCCAGTTATTACAAATACTAAGAAAATTCGAAAAGCCATTTTCCCAGTGGCGTGGTTATGACATAGTCATGCAAATACGCAATTGAGTGAGATTGGCAATCTGGTTCAAGTGCTCTTAGAGTCTAATAACTATCTTATGAATTATTATGAGGTAGGAGCGTGGGGCGTGACGAATGCCACTTTGAGTGTTAATTGGTGAGGTTGATGGCTTAAGTTTGATGGCTATGAGATTAGTCTCTTGAGTTCAGCTAGCGTAGTTATTGGTAGATAGAGTTTCAAAGGAGCAGTAAAAACATTTATATATAAAGAAGAAAACGATTTACAATTTGTTTTAGAGGCTCACTTGTTTTCTTTCTATAGTATTATAACATAGTGATTCAAGACAACTTTAATTTACCGACTCTTTGCTATATTTTCCTTTTTTTCGTTCGTTTTCGTTTAAGTTCACTGTTAACAAATGTTTTAATTGCTTTATTTTGTTCATTCGTCTTGTCTATATGTCTTCTTCTTGCGCTTCTAGCACTTGCCTTATTAATTTTTTTTCTCACATTAGTTGCCTGGAAGAGATCGCTATAAAAGCGATATGGCCGCCAGTTACATTTTCATTTAATTATGTCAATTGTATTATATATTTGCATGCAACGAAGTGGTAATAAATAAATATATTGTGATATATAACAGATATCAGCAAAATGTTTAAAAATTCTGTATATATAATATGTATCCAGGTAATGTGGAATTATATGGACTATGGTTTAGTATGCGGTTCTCAACACCAAGTACGTGCCTTCGAACTCTCTCAGTCTGGGCTGTGCACTAATAGGGTTTTCGTTTTGAAAAAGGAAACAGCATGTCTCACGGCAAATGATGTGTGTCGGGAGAAGAAAAGTGATCAATAAAACAGCTGCATACCCAACTCCCATAAATGTATACTAAATTATGATTAGTACATGCATTTAATATTAAGACGTAAATGATCTTCAAGAATATTTTCAATAACTCACAAAGCGTATTCATTACGACTACTCAAGTCCCAAAGCTTTAACTTCGGGACAAATGTCGCTTTCGTTGAAATTAGACTTTAAGCTTCTTAACGGTGAAATTTTACGAATAACAAACAAAACAATTGTTATTTGTCAACTTTATGAAGGTGACATTTTAATAACCTTTGAAGTGTTTATAGTATTTTATAAAGAAATAATAATTTAAGGTGAATTATTTAATAGCCATATCTCACTCTAACATTTGAGACCTTTCCTTGGAAAACACACTTCTGCGTTACTAGGAATCGAACCCATAACTAATTAATACTTTGAGCATTAACAATTTAAAGAAAAGGCGATTAGTCTTGTTGGCAGAGCATAATGGTATATTAATAATATTTAATCGTTAAAAAGGAAGTGAAAATACAAGTAATTAGAAAATAAATTTAGAATTTTTATTTGACGTTTATTAATGTACAAAAGTTGCCAACATGAATTCATGATATTTAAATTTGAAAAACAGGGGCAAACGGATAGGGGCCTCCCCCTGAGTTTAAGTGATCCGCCGCCCATGGACATTGTCAATGCCAGAGGGCTCATGAGTACGTCGCCGGCCTTTAAAAATAATATTAAGGTACATATCGTGTATAAAAAAGCTCATTGGCTCTTCGATACCTAAATTTTTTATTAATCAATTTAATCCTTTAAACTGAAAAAGTAAAACGAAGGACCTACACTTTTAAGGCTGTGCATTATTTAATTTGATGATTGTTATTCGTTTTAATAATAATCACAGAATAACCCTTATATTATTAATGTAAAGGCACATATTTATCTTGTTAATTAAAGTCAGTATTTACTGAGAGACAATTTCCCAACGGAAAACCTCACTAAAACGTTTGCGTATCAACCGATTCGCCCATCAACACCACTGGGGGTTGCAACTAAGACTAAATATAACAATTTATATTCAGGACCTGAGCTACCATTTACGTTCAGGCCATTTTCGGCCTAAACTTTCTCGATCGTAGGCCCAATTAATGCGACGATTAAACTGGATGAGGTTAGAGGCGCGAACAGGCAATTTAGATGAGATGTGATCGGAATTCGGCTTCGACATATTGATTGCAGACATTCAATCATTCTGAATGCCTTTGTAGCTTGATTTGTTTAGTTAATGATCGGAGTTTAATTGAAATATAAACTTTTATTAAAAACGGTCACGGTTTATTATGATTCTTTATTAATATAACGAATCAAATGCTTAATAAAGAATGATTTAATAATCATCAGAGTCACAGTTTTATTCTGCGCAATGCGTATAAACGGGTCTTTGTTACATCGTACGAATTAATAATTACTCTTTGTAATTTGTTGCTTTTAAACCACGTGGGCATAGATTTTATTAGTCGAAAATTAATAGTTCATATGATGAGTGAAAACAAAATAGGTTTAGTTATATTAGTGAAACTTAGATTAACCTTATACGGCAAATAATTTAAGCAATCGCGAGTACGTTGCAGGCCTTTTAAAAATTTGTTATTTTTTCCTCACTCACGTATTTGGAAATACTATAACTGTACTGTTTGATTATCACCAATTATTTAATTATTATAAATTATCTATTCAATCTTCATTGAGATAAAAACTAGCTTTTGTTGGAATATGTTTCTGACAGCAAAAACTTTCATATATGAAATACGTACCTGTAAATTAACAAACGGTGCATCGGCCATGACAGTGGGCACAATAAATCCACCCTCGCCCGTTGACATGTCGATATCCTGGCTGTATATATCAGTTTCGTCATCGTATAACTTCACTCTGACTCGAACTCGTTTCTCTGTGCTCACTGCTTCTACCTGATAACAAATTATTTTTAAATTCAATAGTAATTTAAATCATTAATCATAAGCTCTATTTGGAGAACTAATAGCTTAGTGACTTTGAAATCTCAGCGTACAAGACACGACTGTGGGGCATTTGATTTTTCTATCAAATTAAAAAAAAACATTTAAAATATTTCCAATCTTAATTTCAATTGGAGTGCAACGAAAATCTTTGAAAACAAGATGTTGTGAACAAAGTACAAGCGTGTTAAATACGCTTTCATATCATCTTAATATATAAAATAAAGTCGGGTTAGAACACTAATAACTCAAGAACGGCCGGACCAAGTTTCATGGTTTTTAATTAAATACATTGGAAATTTAAAGAAAAAATATTAATTGGTTTCGTAACTGTCAAGCATATTATGTTCACCCGTGGATACTATAAAATCTCTCAAATTAAAGAACGTATTTTAAATAAAGGTTTCGAATCGTCAAGATATATCCACAATATTAGGATAATGGCGTATTTTAGATTAAAATAATAAAGAAAAATGTGAGTAATGAAAAAGGATTGACATTGGTTGTCAAATATTCGTGTGTATTAATTTCTTGATAAAGTAGTGAACATTAAATATTAATTATTTTGTATCCATTGTATTACTTTCACAAAATTGTAAATTAGGTTGAGCAAATCTGTAACAAGACATTGACTGTTAGGCGGTACGAAGTTCGCCGAGTCAGCCAACTAATAGCCATATTTTCGTTATAAAAAAAAGAAAAATCTAGATTTATTATCTCTTCTAATATTCAGACTAATACAATTTGCCGGCAAAGGTAATATGAATTATGAATTGAATTTCTAGCTATAATAAAATCATGTTGAAGTGTAAATTAATTTTGTCATTATGTAGGGGAGGACGGACATTGAATATTTTTGGTATCTATTTTGTTTTTCAAACTCAATATAGAAACCTTAAAATTATCATCCACGGTTCTTTTAATTTCGTATTAAATTTAATAACTAAATAAATGAAATGAAGTTCCCTACATATTATACAAGATCTAAATAGAAATGGCATATGACACTGAAAGCTTAGATAAGCGCCGTCAACCGTCTTAAAGCCAGTCTAAAATGAAAACGATATTGCGGGTTCATCTTTAATTAACCCATTAAGTGCGGCCCGACCTGGCTTAGTGCCAAAACCTTTAGCGACAGTAGTCTTTACAGGAACAACGCTTACCTTCCCCTATTTTAGGGTCAAAGGTCGTTTAAATTTAGACGGCTAGCGTATAATGAGTTTTGTTATATTTATTAAAAATGTCTATATTAGTGTCGTAGTATTGATTCATATAGCACCGTTGGTACGTGTTTGTTTTTGTTGTACACAAGAAACATGTGGCGTTTCATTATTTCCGAACAAGTATTAATATTATAAATATTATTTAATAAAGGGAGGGCAAAACTTGCTGAGTTTCTTGCCCGTTCTTCTCAGAACAAGGCCTCCTGGTAGTTTTGCGAACGGATGGCGTAGTCTTGCTCTTTCGTGAATTTTGTAAACGTTGTTGACATTCATAAGCATGCTCTAAGAAGCATCTAAATTGAATAAACGTATTTTGATTTTTCATTTTGATTTATACATTTTTGCACCCACACACTGACTCATTCACTAACATGCACCCAGTTGTATTGATAACAATTGAAAAAAAAAAAAATAAAAAAAAGATGTAAGTAATTAAATTATATATTTTTTTATGGAATTTACTTTACGTATTAATTTACCTGTAATGGTTCCCAAATCTTAACATTACAATGAATTGTTGTCAAATAAATAAACACATTTTTATTTTTATTTTTAAGTGAGAGCTGGCGCAACTAATGTTAGTAAAGTTTTCATCAGTGGGGAGAAAATGCTATTTAATTTTTGCTGCTTTAAAAATTCGTTATTAATTTCTATAATATCATCAAAAAAATTATTTTTAAATAACAAATAAATTGTTCTTCCTAAATAGTACGGGAGGTAGCAACGTTTGAAAAGAAAGAATTTTAGGTCAGCTGATTTTGTGATATGTCTTCCTTCTTGCACTTTCGGTTAGAGTCTGGGCAATCTGGCTGGCGGTAGCGGTTGCGTTCATTAGTGCGCATCCTATCTGTCCGGTAATAATCCTGGATTTTAAAAGCATTTTAAGAAGCGTAATTTTTAATTTTTCGTTTTTAAATAAGTCTACCTGACATACTTTTTTTATTGCCAGACATTTTTCACATTGCTAACTATGTGCCAGACGCGATTTTAAGTTTTTTTTTATAAAAATTTCAAAGTATTTTAGAATGTCTGTAATTTTAATATTATGTTCTTTAAATATAAGAAAAACTAAAAATGAATTTGCCAGACATTAATTCGGTTGTTAAGTCTTGAATTAAAATGAAAAAGTATTGCAGTATGAGCGTTGCATTTTAAGAAGCGCAATTTTTAATTTTTCCTTTTTAAATAAGTCTACCTTTTTAAATAAGTCTTATACTTTTTTTATTGCCAGACATTTTTCACATTGCTAACTATGTGCCAGACGCGATTTTAAGTTTTTTTTATAAAAATTTCAAAGTATTTTAGAATGTCTGTAATTTTAATATTATGTTCTTTAAATATAAGAAAAACTAAAAATGAATTTGCCAGACATTAATTCGGTTGTTAAGTCTTGAATTAAAATGAAAAAGTATTGCAGTATGATGAAGCGTTGCATTTTAAGAAGCGCAATTTTTAATTTTTCCTTTTTAAATAAGTCTACCTGACATACTTTTTTTTATTGCCAGACATTTTTCACATTGCTAACTATGTGCCAGACGCGATTTTAAGTTTTTTTTTATAAACATTTCAAAGTATTTTAGAATGTCTGTAATTTTAATATTATGTTCTTTAAATATAAGAAAAACTAAAAATGAATTTGCCAGACATTAATTCGGTTGTTAAGTCTTGAATTAAAATGAAAAAGTATTGCAGTATGATGAAGCGTTGCATTTTAAGAAGCGCAATTTTTAATTTTTCCTTTTAAATAAGTCTACCTGACATACTTTTTTTATTGCCAGACATTTTTCACATTGCGAACTATGTGCCAGATGCGATTTTAAGTTTTTTTTTTATAAAAATTTCAAAGTATTTTAGAATGTCTGTAATTTTAATATTATGTTCTTTAAATATAAGAAAAACTAAAAATGAATTTGCCAGACATTAATTCGGTTGTTAAGTCTTGAATTAAAATGAAAAAGTATTGCAGTATGATGAAGCGTTGCATTTTAAGAAGCGCAATTTTTAATTTTTCCTTTTTAAATAAGTCTACCTGACATATTTTTTTTATTGCCAGACATTTTTCACATTGCTAACTATGTGCCAGACGCGATTTTAAGTTTTTTTATAAAAATTTCAAAGTATTTTAGAATGTCTGTAATTTTAATATTATGTTATTTAAATATAAGAAAATCTAAAAATGAATTTGCCAGACATTAATTCGATTGTTAAGCCTTGAATTAAAATGAAAAAGTCATGAAAAGTATGGCAGTATGATGCCTTTCATTGGTAATAAAAACATTTACGTAAGTTTTAATAAATGTTATTCATACAAAGTGATAAATAACTAAGTAATTAAAACTATTGAAGAATCATTATCGTGTGAGAAGATTCTGAACAAAAAAAAATTAAAAATAACGCTTCCTCAAATGCAATGCTTCATCATACTGCAATACTTTTTCATTTTAATTCAAGACTTAACAACCGAATTAATGTCTGGCAAATTCATTTTTAGTTTTTCTTATATTTAAAGAACATAATATTAAAATTACAGACATTCTAAAATACTTTGAATTTTTTATAAAAAAAAACTTAAAATCGCGTCTGGCACATAGTTAGCAATGTGAAAAATGTCTGGCAATAAAAAAAGTATGTCAGGTAGACTTATTTAAAAAGGAAAAATTAAAAATTGCGCTTCTTAAAATGCAACGCTCATCATACTGCAATACTTTTTCATTTTAATTCAAGACTTAACAACCGAATTAATGTCTGGCAAATTCATTTTTAGTTTTTCTTATATTTAAAGAACATAATATTAAAATTACAGACATTCTAAAATACTTTGAAATTTTTATAAAAAAAACTTAAAATCGCGTCTGGCACATAGTTAGCAATGTGAAAAATGTCTGGCAATAAAAAAAGTATGTCAGGTAGACTTATTTAAAAACGAAAAATTAAAAATTACGCTTCTTAAAATGCTTTTGTGCAAAAGTGCAAGAAGGAAGACATATCACAAAATCAGCTGACCTAAAATTCTTTCTCGAAAACGTTGCTACCTCCCGTACTAAAACATGTTTATTAATTCAATCAGATATCTTTTTAAACTAATGAATATTATTATTATTTTATATTTAGTCAACTTACAGTTAAGTATTTATTGAAGTAGTTAAGATTTTTAACCCCTTAACACTAAAGAGGGATGATTTAAGTTTGACGTATCTATGTTTCAGGCATAGCTCCTAGAATAATAGATTATAGAGCGATTTTTTGTTAGAAAGCTGACGTGATTAAGGTCCTTCTTAGCTACAATTTATGACTCGTTTGAGATAAGCCACTGTTTTTGTTAGCTGCCGGAGAAATCTTACACACATAATAAGTATGTACTTATAATATTTGGAACACTCATTGTGGTACCACTGAGTTATTCTGATGATGTAGTTTGCAGGATATCGTGGTAACTTACAATTTTTAATTTTATATTATTGTTATTTTATAATAGCAATAAAAACTTTATTCACGCCAGAAACATCATCATAATATAGTAAAAAATTAAAAGGACAATTATTTAAATATGCAGTATTACTAGTGAAAGCAGTTGCTTTCTTGCAAGCATAAATAATCTAAAAATAACACTTAATCTAAAGCAGTTCTTAGTACAACCTTCTTAGTTGTATTGTTTAGTGTTAGTAAAAGTGCTATATTTATACATATATTTCATAAGCATTAGATCACATATAATGGAGGTAATCAATCATTTCCGTATATTTAGCAATAACTCAAGTTGTATGAAAGAATCATATCACAAAACCTTTATTTTCGCTGTAATTTATTATCCGAAAAGACACAGTGAATACAAATTGGTAAGATGGATGAAGATATTCTGTTAATCATCTTATTCAAACAGTAATTTACAATTTTCTTAATATAAATAACCGTTTCAGTTTGTATAAATAAATTATTATATAAGCTAAAAATAATACGATGGAACTATTTTTTTTTTTGAAGACGGAAAAATACCTTTACTTAAGTATATTTATTTTGGAATTATTATACTAATTTTCATTTGAAAATTAATTTATCACTTTTGTACGAGGTATACTCAAAAGATACATACTCAAAAACCTGAGGCTTTCTTTGTTATATATTTTATATAACACAATAAAATGAGGCATATCACAAAAGCGTATTATTTACTGCTGGTCTCGATAAGCTTGAAATGGTAATGGTTCGACGATGCGGTGCGTCTCAAGAACGATGGGTGAGTTGAACAAAGGAAATAAAATGCCTTTTGGCTAAAAAAAACCAGAGAGGAACACGCAACAAGATGGGACGATGAAAACCAAAAGATAGTGGGCAACGGCTGGTTTCGGGAAACCCAATCAAGGCAACACTGGTCCTTATTGGAGGACCTTAACCTCGAAAGGTGGTTCGCAAACTAATATTATATAAATGAATATAAAATTATACAAACAAAATTATTGTAACTATTTTGAAGAGAAATACAAGGCTTTTTATAGGTATAACAGTCCTAAAATATTGTATATACTTATGAAAAAAATATTATATACAATTTAGTTATGTTCATACAAAAACGACGCAAAGTTAAAGGTAAGGATTGCTACTGCACTGTACTACTTCCTACTTCAACTTTTCTTTAGAGTATCTAGTTAAGATCAATTTGCTTAAAAATACTTCTAAAGTTCTAAGCAGATTTCAATCGTTCCTACACTGAAACTAAATGCTTAAGTATTTTTTATTTTCCTCGCTTACTGTACGAGGCTCGGATAGCAAAATCAAGTTAAAGTTTCAATCGTTTGAATACGTAAAAATCTGTATTTTAAATGCAAATGAGGTTAGTAATAACCAAATACGTTAGAGCAGTGTTGACCTAGTAGCTTCAGCTCTCATCCCTGAGGTTATAGGTTCGATCCCCGGCTGTGAACCAATGAACTTTCTTTCTATGTTATCATTCGCTCGAACGGTGAAGGAAAACGTCGTGAGGAAACCGACATTTCTTAGACCCAAAAAGTCGACGGTTTGTGTCTGGCACAGGAGGCTGATCACCTACTTGCCTATTAGATTGAAAAATGATCATGAAACACATTCAGAAATCTGAGGCCCAGACCTAAAAGTAGTTGTAGCGCCACATATTTTTTTTTATAATATCCCAATATACAATAGTTAGTAATTATAATAGGCCCGAGGTTAATTGTCGTTTATTAGTTGCGTAGAGATTAATTTATGTTTTTTTACTAATAGGTACTCCTTGTTTAAAGTTACGGATGGAACCGATTCGTAGCTTGGTGGTTTGTCTCTTAATGGTTTTATTGTTATATTTATGTGCTCTTAGATGTAAACTTTTTTGTAATGGCCGTTGGTAAATCATTTTAAATAAATAAATTAACACGCATGGTTGAATCCTGCCGATCTTCCCCGCGAAATTTATTGGTTTGAATTTTTATAGAGAATTAACGTAAAACTACAATGTGCACGGAAAAGCGTTTTTGATGAATTATAAATTATAAAATAAAGAATATTTTTACTATATTTTTAACAGGAATTGTTTCGATGTTACGTTATTAAGATAAAGTTTTAATTTCTATTTTGCCGTTTAATATTCAAAGCTAGCTTACCCTTCCAACAAATGGTAATCCAGGTTTGTATCTCCTGCGCATACTGTCAGCAAACTTAAGTTCTACAGAGTGTTGTTCTGCTGCAGGTGTCGCTGGTGTCGTGGCACCTGGTCCAGACCCAACGGATAGTTCCACATGCGCCGAACCACCACCGCAGATTGCTTCAATTGTCCAAGTACCTGCTTGGGCACCGGCCGCAATGATGCTTGTCAGTTTCCGAACACCTGTAAAACAACACATGTGACATTTAATCTCATCAATCAATTCATATACAAAGTTTAAAAATTGAATCTTAGTGCCTGCTTCTTGAATCTCCCAAATTAGAAACTTCGGTAAATATTCCGTATCGCGGCACCAGCGATTTTGAGACTGATTTTTTGTTTACAGTCGCGTTATGATCTGTAACCATCATAACTAGTATTGTTATGATGGCGCATGAAAAAAAAAATCAATTTATTTTAAAAAAATATTAATATACTAACCTAACCTAACCGAACAATATTAATAATAGGGTTTTGCGCCCTCCGCCTTTGCGCCTTGCGTTACAGCGGGTGGGGGCTCTTCCTCCGCGCCTCCGATTTTTTATATACACTCTAGGGGTAAGGCAGACTAGACCACGTGGATAGTGGGGTGCTCTGATTTTTTTTTGGCAAAAAAGGTCATGCGCCATCATAACAACACTAGTTATGATGCTGAGAACTCATGACGAAGTCATAAAAAAAATCAGCCTCAAAATCGCTGGTGCCGCGATACGGAATATTTACCGAAACTTCCCTCCCTCATACTGCAACACTTACATAACCTACTATTATGTAGGCAATTAATGTATAATATTTAAAAGATATATATTCAACAGAATAAAACTAATTAAAAAAATGACTTCCGATTAAGTTAAATCTAAAAGTTGTGTGTGTATAATTTTGTTATTGAAGTTCTGTACATTACTGCTTTATTCACATTTTATTAATATACTTATATAATCGAAGATCGGAAAGATTTAATTCAGTTTAAACTCCATTTACGAATACCTGTATTTTGTTTACAATATAAAGGTAGTTTGCTTGTGTTCAAATACAAGTTCGTATACGTAACTAAGGTATAAGGTAATTTTTGTAATTGTTTGTAATACTCATATTCGAGAATCAGCCTTGCGATTCTGTAACTCACTTTTATAAGGAGGGATATCAGAATGCCAAATCGTAAAATAACTGCTTCAAGACTGATTTGAGCCCGACCGCCGCTGCTAAAACCGCTGTGAGAGTTCGAAAAGTGAGTTACAGAATCGCAAGGCAGGTATGTCAAAAACGTATTAGATTTTACTAACGGGCATTAGCGCTAAGTGTCGTTGAATCTTACTGAATTACAGCTTAATCAATTTCAAAATTGTTGTTGTAAAAAAAATCCTATTGTGCCTAGAATCTCATCAATGTTTAAAAACGAATGTCTCCGAGGAAAAGGTTTAAAAGAACAAGCGTGAGGGAAAGAAAATAGTCAAGCGAAGTCTGAACGCCATATTGAAGCGTAACAAAAGCCACATTTTTCTAAGAAGCCGACTTTCATACGATCGAAGATTGCACTACAAAGGCTTTGAAGCAACACCTTTGCCCTTGCTTGTTTGGTAAAAATAATGGTACTTATAAAATAACAACGTCGATCAAGATTTTTTATTAATTAACTCTAACTATAGCTGAACAGTTTGTTTGGTTTACTTAACGCGAATTATTGATTCAAAATATAGTATTGTGTTGATCCAGCCTAACCAGTGAATGGCCTGAAGGCCCCAGTGGCTGATGTCTAGAAGTTGTATATATCCTTAGCGGTTGGAATAACTTTAATATCACAGTTATTATAACCGTAGTTATACAACTGTTAAGCGACAACTACATTGTAGTTAACTGTTGAACTATAAAAATAGCCCTTCCAAAAGCATAGTTCTAAAAGGCCGGTAACGCACTCGCGAACCCTTTGAGAATGTCCATGGGCGACGGTATCACTTAACATCACGTGCCTCCGCCTGCCCGTTTGCTGTTCTATAAATAAAATCTAGATCCAGATTTTTTTACCATTTTCTTCTTTGATAACCTAGAAGTATTATATGTATATACATTTCAAACGCCAATAGTTTTATTAACAAGTGATTGAAAGACCTTGTCAGTTTTACAATTAAAGCCCCTTATAAACACTGGATCCATAATTAAAAATATATATCAAAGGTCCAGCAAACATCAAGTCAAAACCAGCTGTTAACGCCCCGCAAAGTTTTTGCTATGACATGTGACTTTAAGAGGGTCGGCTATTTATCAAAGGACCCGCCGACAGCGAGTGACGTCACGCTGTGATTCTCATTAATTTGTTAAAATGTAAGAGAAAACGTTTTGTTTTAATTTTCAGGAACAAATGTCGCTAAAGGGTGTTTTCAACTTAATTACGTAAACAAGAAATGATTAGCAGTTTAGATTTAGATGAAATAGTTATTATTTTTTATTTGTTATTTTTTACGTATTTCATACGTATATGATTTTTTGTTTTTCTTCATTCATCTATATATTTTACATTGTTTTTATTTGAGTTACGTTATACGTAAAGTCCTTATAATATCGTCCATATAAAGGTTTTTATGAACAAAACTTATGTTTGGAAATGTAATGCGCGGTTCTCACTTAAAAATATATTTTTTAAACGTCAGACACAAAATAAGTTCTGACAAGTTATTTATTGTAAATGAGTATAAACTTAAAAAACCGATTATTACAGTATATTACAGACATTATACATATCTCATTAAACCGCATGACCTCTGTGAGATACTTTCTAATCAATCGTTTTTGTACTATTGAATTATATATAAACATTTTGTTATTATTAAATATTCGTGTTCAATATTTTCACTTGTCAAAGGATAGAAATCCTAACGGGTATTGTCTCAGGTAAATGCCTCGTACCAGCATCCACTTATTCAAAACCATATCACATAACCTCAGATATAGTATGAGAAGGGTCTTGTAAACATGGCAAGTGAAATCCGAACGCGTGTCAGGTAAGCTATATGATCCTTTTTAAGAAATTCCCCAGGTTATTCCTTTTGATAAATCTATGCGGGCGCTGAGTTCTTCATTGCCTTTTCCCGCAGAGTAAATTTAGTTTTATGCGGAAATGTATGGAAGGTTTTTTGAAAAATAGTCTATAACAATTACGTCATGAATAATGAAAGACAATTTTCGTGGCGTATATTCGTTTGAGATTGTTCATTAAATTTTAAATGGTTTGGACTCTTTTAAACTGTTTATAATATAATAAATATATATGTCGGAGAGATCAACTACAAGTACCGGTTTTGAACTAGATTTAATTTTACGTTGGTAATTTATAACCTCTGTGGCATATATTGACGATGGCAGTTGACATCACGGCATTGATCTGACGTATAAAATATAACCTCCAAACCAAACTTGTGTTTATGAAAATTATGCTTTTTTCGTTACGAATATAAATATATGACGCAGCTAAATTTAATTATTTTCTTTTAAAGTGACTTGTAAGATATGATTATATCGTTAAAATCAATTTAATGAACTTTCTATCAACAACAATGACAACCGTGTGAATTCTTTTAAAAAATAAAAAAAGCCAGTGAACTTATGACATTTTGCAAGTACAAAATTAATTTAATCTTTATCAACTATAATGAATTTTTTAGGCTTCTCGTCGAAAAATTAATCAGGTTGTAATATCAAACTCATAAATTATATTTCACAATATATTAAATGTTAAATGTTAGTAAAGAAAGGCGAAAAAAAACTAAAAACTAAATTTGTTAAGTCGTATTTAAGCTCTTGGATTACTTTTGCCCTTCTGTCCTACGGAAACGAATGTAAAATAAACTTTGCAATTCGACTGCTTTGTCCCATTGAGATTTTCCTAATAATTAACTGTGTTGAATTAATTTGCAAAGATTTTTTTAGGATTTCCAGAGACCGGGGTTTGTATAAAGTAGCAGTATTAATATATTGCTAAAAAATATGACTGTAAACATAAAGTTACAATTTATATAAATTAAATAGTGAATGTGATAATGACACAACAAATTAATCAACAAGAGGGCAAATTTATTTATATTTTATAATAAATTTATTTATTATAGAGGGAGGATTTATTAAATGGCGTCTCTGTATAGACTAGATGAAGTTACAAAAGTATTTCGATCATATTCATGAACGAACTTTATGGCAAAAATACAAATAGGTACAGTAAAGTGAATCAAGAATGTTCAGTACAGAACATTCGATAGAGTAATATTGCGAATTAAGGAGAGAAAGTTACTGATTTGGTACTTGGTACAGTACCATGTACTTCACCAATATTGAAAAAAACATAATCTTGATTAAAGTACAATAAATGTTTAAAGAAAGAACGCAATCATTTTCATCGGTTATTTTTTGAAGGTGGCCAGTCTCTGAGCAGTTGGACATAAAAACTCTTTTGCCGTTTAAAAAAAAAGAAACATCGTTTTAACAATGTTTTTTTTATATAGTTAACCCCCTCAGCAACGTTAGAAATTTCCATACAAGTTTGTAACCCGCTCCCGGCGACAACATCGTATGCTTCATTATCAAAAAAGCTTTACCGAATTTTCCGAACAGGTGTATTATAAAGTTATTTTGTGAATGGTTCAATGTATAAGTACACAAGATTAATACAGAAGAGATCTTTTGTTCCGAGTAGGTATGAAAAGCTTCATAATTTTCAAATAGATAAAACAACGCTTGTTATTGCAACAATGTTGAATTGTGCAATAGCTTTCCACATCAGATTGTTCTATTTATATTTAAATTTATACTCAACACAGTATTGTGTTTAATTCAAATTAATGTATGCCAATTAAACTTGGGCAAGTTAGATTTACAAAGAGCTGTTCATATACATTTCATCATACGGTCACTAATTGGCGCTTGTTGTCTAACTTATACAAAGCACATACATAAATATATGTATGTACTTATATACCTTCAAACCGTCTAATGGTATACGGAACAAATGAATAAGGTTGGATGAGTATAATAATATAAAAATAATATTTCCGATACCATTTGACTTAGGGTCCTTCAAATATGAGCGTACCAATTCTTAAAAGGCCTGCAACACACTTGCGAGCCTCCTGGCAATGTGCCCATGGGCGGCGGTATTACTTAACATCAGGTGAGCCGAGCCTGTTTGCCTGCTGTTACATAAAAAAATACCTCCTATCCCACAAATTAAATTTATAAGTTTAATCGCATCCATTTGCGATGATTGGTGAATGTTATATCTGGTATTGGCGATACATACTCGTAGCTATTATAATCTTATATATATTTTTTAAGTAGGTAAATAGCACGCCATTTGTTAAGCATTTCGATCACGTCAGGTTTCTAACAAAACCACATCTTAATCGGTCTATTACATTAGAAGCTACGGTACACAGATATGTCGAACATATAACAACCCTATTTTTACTTCGGGGGTTAATATGGTATGACAGAGGGGGTTTATATGATAGAAATAAAATATATAACTAAAGGATTTTTATGAATCTCAACATTGATAGAAATATTTCTTATTTTTCAGAGACTTCCCTTAACCACAAAATGCAAAAACGAGTTTAAATTTATCTCAATATTACGCAGAGGTTCGCTCTTAATTAGCACACGGTGTTTCATAAACTTAATATAAGCCTGGAATAAAGAATATCCTTTACTTACAAAGTGAGACAAAATTAATAACATTTAATAGTAGTTTATTAGGGA